TACTTTCACAGTTATGTTTGTATGTATGTATGCAAAATATGCACGCGTACCAAACCAACAAGCCGCTGCAGTGCCAAATATAAAGAATAAAATAAATGTATATAAAATAATATTAGTTATTAAATACGCCGCCTATAAACCATACAGCTTTAAACGTTGCTACCTATTTTTCTGAATATTCCAATATTTTTTTAAATATAGTAATTGACGTCAATTCGTTAGGCTATATCAAAAACTAAGTAATTGGTCGTTGCCAAGTTCCATTTGAACAGCATTATTATTTTGTGTAAATTTTTTTCTTCTAAATCACAATCAGAAAAATCAAAAGGAGTAAAAGATCACGTAGCACCGAAAGCCTGGCCTATCGCTTCGAAAGATAAAAAAAGCGATACATTTGGTCGCCATTAGCCCCTTCTTGTATTCTTCCTTTCCCTAGAAGAGAAACCGATTCGTGGTTCTGTTGAAGGTCCCAAAACTAATAGTAGATGGTAGCTGAATTCAGTTCAGCCAGAGACATGTAGACGGGCGCTCTCCAATGCGGAGTACTATTTAGTTACACTCTTTATTTCTTCACGTCAACTACGCCCTATCAAGCAGAGACCTCTAATAACCTCAATTGCATGGCGAATCAATCGGAAGAGTGAGCTACATCTTTTCCTATCTAATTTAGACCAGAAGTGTCGTACTATCCCACACGTTTGCTCTCCGTAGACTCATCTTTTATTGGCCTGTTCTTTAAAGTTATTTTCTCCTGCACTGATCTCACACAACAAGGTTCTCTTCCTTGCCAAATCAACAATGTTTATTTGGAGAACCTTCAGTGTAAATGGCCGAAGAATCAAGATAACGATTCAAGCATAGGTTACTTTTCCAATCGCTTCTATGTAGAGGACATTCATTTGTGGAAATAATTTCGCAGACCAAAGCGCGATACCGTTTAAGTTTTAAAAAGGTTTCATCTTTGATAAGTAAAACGTTTCTCTACTTTCTACAATTTCTACGTATATATACATACATATGTACATTCACGCACGCTTGTCGTTTTAATGAACCACAAAAATTATCGTCAAATTATTTAATCTTAACGATTTCGGGGAATTGATAACTAACTTGGCTAGTAAAAAACGTGATGTAGAATTGAAAAAAAAAAATATTTAGGTGTAGCTGTGGGAAATTAATAAATTTTTTTCTCTGGAATTTAAAGCTAAAGAAGTGCTCTGTAACACTTTCAAAATGGCGTCTGAGGTGTTTAATGTTTCTACAAACTTTGTCGCACTTGCTGCATAATCTGAGTCACTTTCTACTAAATGTGCCCATATTTATATAGAAAGTGTATGAAATGAGAAAAAAAAATCCCATACAAATCCGTATTCAGGCATTTGACTCTGCTTGTTGCTCCGGGGGTACTCGTAACTAAACGAGTCCCATATGCATCATCTATTGTATAAATTTTCCGACAAACAAGAAGTTGAGCGTTAATTAAGCTCAAGTATGAGTGAGTGATACAAATTAATATATATACTTACATACATACATAGATACACATGTACCCACTTAATAATTTCCATGCCTTATCTATTTATCAGCAGTTAATTTCTATTAGCGTTGATAACAGGCATATCTAACAAGTTGCATTAAATCACATTGCTTTAAACGCTTGTTGAAGTCATTCCGCCAAATTAGCAAAGTCAATATAAATATCTATATAAATGTTTATTCAAATAACCCAAAAGCATGAACAGCTGCGAAAAGATTTGGCAAACTGCTTATCACCCAAGTGATATCTGAAATATGGAAAATATGTGGTTTTATAACCAGACTTTAACCCGAGAAACCGGCCTAGAGGAATCATATCTTTCGATATCTCTTTTCCTTAGAACTAAATACAGTTGAGGAAAACTGGTTACTCATATTATTTGCGCATCATCTGGCCTAGTCATAGTAGTCGGCACGATAGTTCGAAGGATTTTGTTTCTTCAGGCACGAAAGGCTTAAAAAAAGCTCCCTTGCCAACTTTCATGGTGAAAAGCTCTTTTGACAAAAAGCACATGAGCATGCTCCAAATGGGGACAGCAGTTGCAATGGCCTAGTGATTAAAGTACTGGCGTGCTATTTGAGAAATCTGAGGTTCAAATCCCCGGGCAGCGAAATATAAGATGCTTAGTAACAAATAGTCAGTACTAATTTGTACTGTAGCCTGCAAATTTTTACTGAAAAAGTGTATAATAACCCAAACTGCCTTCGAAAAATCAAAGACAGTGACGGAAGGCAATGGGTGAAAAGGGTGAATGTATTTGTCTTCGCAAAATTGTCCTATGTAAAACCCAAGTAAGCTCAAACAAAAGTAAAATGAGTGACAATCAAAATATTAATGATGTACTGGACTGTGTAAGTGCATATGTGTAAAGCAAAGAGTTTAAAACCGAATTTATAAATTGTAAAATGTTTACAGCAGGAATGTCAAAACAGTGACACAACTGTTCACTTGAAAGTTTTTACTAGTTTTGTGTTCAATAACTTTTTCTGCTAGTTTTCTTTTCTTCTCACTTTTACGCTCTATTGTGCTTTTACACTATCGCTGCAATTTTTACTGGGGAAGTTACTATACGCATCTATTATTTCTTTTTTAACCGACTTCAAAAAAAAGAAAAGGTTGTTAAGTTATTTTTATTAAAATTTTCTTGTAATTTTTATGTAATTTAATTTTAGAAACATTTTATGTTTTATTTTCTTAGTTTTATCTTAATCTTAGTTTGTAGAATTTATTTTTTTTAAAGAAACATATTTTTTTAGTTCCATATAATTTTTAAGAACTTAGTTTTTTCTTTTGTCAATTTATTTATTAATTTTTTTTTTAATTTATTTATTTTTCTCTTTTAAGTTTTAGATTTTTTTGGTTTTAAGAGATATTTTTTAACTATATTTAAATTTGCCAACTTGTTTTACATTTTAAATTTAATTTAATTTTTTAATTTAATATTTTCTTTTTCTAATTTTATTTTTCTTTGGTTTGTAAATTTTATTGTTTCAAAAAGAAAAAAATTATAATTTAATTTTTAAAACTTATTACTTTTTCCTTTATTAGTTTAATTTTTCATATTTTTTAATTCAATATTATTAAAATTTTTTAGGTTTTGTTATTTTAAAAAGCAAAATATAGGTTTTTGTGTTCAATTAAATTTTTAGAAACCTTTTTCCTTTAAGACAAATAAAATAACCCTAAGATCTCATTAGCAGATCTTTCAATTAGTCTTTCGAAAGCTACAGAAGGTGTTTAAAATAGTTTCCAGTATTAAAAATTGTATTGAATAACTGTGGTTGAAAGCTGCCAGAATTTAGCTGCTAATGTCAAAAATATGCATATAAGCCTTAATGACCAGGTTCAACAGTACATACGCCATCCGCAGAACCAAACGTAGTTACTACCTTCAGACCTTAAACGACCTTTTTCAGAGATGAAAATTTCTTCGTTAAAAAATGAATTAGCACATATGTATAAGGAATGCCCTAATGTTCCTTTTTTAGCAAGTAGGCATCCAAATACTATGTTAACAACTGCTTTTTAAGTGTGTCTTTAAATATGTAGATATAGATGTTGTTTGTATATATGTATATTTGTTAGTGAAGAAATATAAATACAAATTAAATTTCTTAATACCTTTACAATTGTTTTAATACATATGTAAATGTTTAGTAATTGAATCTCTTTTAATGGCATCTAATTAGATAATAAAATTTCCGGTGTACTTTGTTTATTGAAAAATCAAATCGGGCAATTCGATAGCCAGCCATGAAATACGAAATGTATGTACATATGTATGTATGGAAAAATCCGGATACACGCGTCTACACTACGTCGCCACTTCGGCAAACCATAATAAACAAATGGAGAGGGCGAATGAAAAACAAATGGAGAGGGCGAATGAACAACAAACGCACAGTGTTCGGATTTCACTTCGAACGGAGTAGAACAATTTTGAAATCTGCTCCTCTAATCCTTTTTTAAATTAATCCACGGGTTACAGTAAAAAAAATCAAGTTAAATAAAATCTTAGTGATAAAAATAGAAACTCACTTGTGATGAAAAAATGCTTTGTTCGTTTCTTAAAGTGTTACACCCTAGTAAGGAAAAAAGGGTACATTCTCTGCCCTTTGAAGCTTTGTTAGGGGAGATGAATGCCCTGCAAATCAGATGAGTTGCTTAAAAGGACAATATTATGAAATTCATGAGTTAAATAAGCCTAAGTGGGGAAAAAACAACACTTACAAGATTGAGTGTAACATCAAACATATTTTGCACTATGGAAGGGCTGAATTTTTTGGAAAATCGAAAACCCTACTAATAAAATGACGGAGTATAATCTAACTATAGATAAGGGCAATTTTGGCAACTGTCTTTCAATTCTGGCGACTAGCTTGAAAACTGTTTTCTGTCTTTCTAAAGACAAATTGTTTGACTTTTAGCAATAAGTTTTCTAAAAATTAAATAAATAAAAATAATTGTTTTAACAATAAACGCTACAACTTAAAAGAAGGAATATAAATAAAATAGGTCTCAAAATTAAATTAAATAAAACACATTCATTTTTCTTTTTACACAATAAAGACTATAAATTTGAAGAAAATTTAATCTATATAAATTTAATTAAAAGAAAAATCAATAAAATAAGTTTCTAAAAATTAGATTAATTTACTAACAATTTAAATTTAATTAAAATCACAAAAAGAAATACACTTAAAAAATACACCTCCTAAAAATTTAACTGCATAAAATAATTTTATTTTAGAACAAAACCTATAAATTTATATTAAAATTATTTCAAAAAAAAATTAACAATTAAGTCTAAAAAAACCAAAAGAAAATTAGATTTAAAAAGAAAAAAATAGAATTAAAATAAGAAAAATATATAAAATAAGTTTCTAAAAATCAAATGAAATTAAAAAAGCCCAAACATTAAAAAGAAAAGTTATTTAAAAACAACAAAATTAAATTAAAAAAATTAAAAAAAAATTCCGCTGCCCAAGGGTTCGAACCTCAGTTCTCTCGAATGGCACGCCAGAATAAATAAAATCTTTCAAACTTTTTTGCCTACTGTCTTTCAATTGTCTTACAAAAGACTTGCAACTATCTTAACCAGAATTGCCGTATAAGTTTGTTAGAAATTAAATGTAGAAAAAGATATACATATATAAAATAAAAGAATGGTTCCAGAGCCGAAGCTCCTAAAAAAAAAGATTTGATAGTAAGTTCTACTTTACCTAAATAAGTAACATTCCTTCACGTTTTTATTTTTGCATGAATCAAAAAAAATTTAAGCGATTTCCCATTTAGCACAACTCAGTTAAAGTTTCAAGAGCGGCTGCTCACACCCATAGTGGCATTTTCTAATTACTTGTTCATGCGAAATTTTCAAATTTTTGACTCGCACAGTAGCGAAAACATAATTGCCAGTCTACTACGGAAATTTTGTTTCTACTCCGATTTTGGAGTCATTTACTACGGAATCTAGTTTTGGGAGACCGAACACTGCAAACAAGTGAGCGGCAAAACCGAGTATTTTAGCCTTTAATAGCGCAAGCGCCTAACAATAGAAAGCTTTATGGAGCTATTTTGTGCCAATAAATGTCTAAATAAGATTGAATGGTGGTTCCTTTCTCTGCAGTATTCATTCATTCATTATTGCATTCATATTAGTTTTTTTTTTTATATTTCAATTGCAACAGCTTGATTTTTTATTGCATTCAATGCAAACCTCTGAGGAAAACGCGAACGCCTATTGTTTTTGGGCAGCCGCGTGTTGTCGCGTCGTCCTTCAACCCCGGTAATCAAATTACAAATTGTGCAAAGACTCACTCTCTCCATCTCCCAAACACACCGCGCGCTCTCTACATTCAGCGCTTACCCTATAATGTACATACATACATACATATGTACATAGCTTACATGCGTGCGTGCGGGCTGCTGCCTGTCGTCAGCCTGCCTTTATTGGTGGGCAGCAGGCGTGCCGCCGCAACCACAGGTTTTCTGCGCCGCAGCCGTACCGGAGGATACGTAGCGCACGTATTTTGTTTGAGAAAAAATCCACCTCTGGCTAGCTGATTCCTGGATCTCAAATTTAGTTCCTTTAAAATTTCCGATTGCGTTCGTTTGTTCGTTCGGCAAAACACATTCTACTCTACGCTACTTCAGCGTTCGCTTTTGCAAAGCGACCAAATCAAATTACCTACCAAATTCATAGAGCCAGCTGAAGTATACTTTTGGGCGCGGCGGCCGCAAATGAACGAATTTTTTTTTTTAGATAAAAGTGTCTAACGAAGGCCTAAATTTGTAGTGCATTTGGTACAAAACACACAAATTTTTTGTCTTAATAGATTGCAAAGAAAAGAATGCAAAATATTTAAAAAGGTTTTCAATAGAACAAATACAAAAAAGTAGCAGTAGAAGTAGAAGTAGTGTGTGAAAAAAAAAATCTTGTGATTCTTCAACTTCAAATTCCACTGAATACGGCGGACATGTTGCAACGCTGTAGAGAAAATCTATAACACTCAAAACGCACAAATTGATTTATCAAAAGGATACAAACAAAAAAAAAAACAAAAACGAATTGTGAAACATATTTCGAAAATTTTAGAAACTTTACAAAAAAAAAATTAAAAGTATAAAGGAAACAAATGTAGATATAAGTGAAAAATCTGTACGTATTAAGTCAGACGTCCTTTTGTCGTAAAGCAACGAAATCAAAGAAACATCAAAATAAATTTTTAACACACAATTTTCTAAGCATTAAAACTCAACCCACCAGCGTCAACTCAAAACCAACTCATAGGCAACCACGGGATAGGCAGAAGAAAAGCACCAGCGGATTATTGTAGAAAATCAGTGCTATAGCTATTACAGGCATACGTACATACATACTCGTACATCAATCAGCAACGATAAATAGCGAAAAATTCACAAAAATTCTGTACATTTCAAAAACGGGTTACGCCTCTTTTCGCTGTTTAACTCTTAAAAAGCACGTCGACGGCATGCAAATTTAAGCAATAGTTGAAGAAAAGGAAAAAAGTAAACGAAATCCGCAAAAAAAATTTTATGTACAAAATATACATACATACATAGCATAAACGAAGCTATTAGAACTTTAAAAAGTTAAAAAAAAACTAAAAATTAATTTAACATACTTGCTTCTGCTGCATACATACATACATACATACATACATACATAAACGTAATTAAGTACGATAATCAAACGCCGCTTTGCAGTAAAATTAAGTTGGAATCATATAAAGTAAACGAAAATTGTGTGATTTAACTTTTAAGCTAAAAGGCCAAAGAAGTATTGAGACAAATCACATACGCGCAATACGTTGTTGGCTATATACATACATGCATACATATTGAATACTAAGGCATAACAAAAAAAAATTATATACATAAATCCAGTTAAACATTAAAAAGTTTACGGTTTTATAAAGTAGTCGAAAAAAAAATCAAATAAATTTGGTATAAATATAATAT